AATTAATAATCGATACTTGGTGTCAAGAATCGATGCAGTAGATCACGAAAATTAGAATCACGATGCATCATCATGACGATTATTTTGCACACCCCTATTAGTGACGCAGCATTACAGTTGGATTATAAACAGGTTAAAGCGAGTGACGGAGTTACTAAGGAAAGCTGGCTTCTAGATAATGAGCAGCAGAGGGAGTGTTGAGGTAAACGGAGTGAAAAAACGTACCATCCTCACTGTTGCGGCTGACGGAGACGGCATCGGGTGCAGGCTCTTCCACTAGGGGGGGCTCACACTGTGGACTGTCACTGAAGCAGAAACACACACAGCAGAAGATGTTCAAAAATAAGGGGAAACATTTCATTTACACTGCTTTGGAAAATCATAAACATCAATCATGACTTATTAGAGCTGCGTGACACAAGCAGGGACTTAAAGACCAAATGTACCAGGGGGCCAGGAGGGGGCCAGTCTGTTTCCATGGGGGCACAGACAAGCATGAAATACAAAACAGAGAAAGGGATTCAAATATATTAAGAGAGCTGCAAGAAGTGACATTTCTATTCAATTAGGTTTAATTCAAATTCTGTGTCTTATTAGGTCAATATACATTCATAATTTAGGAATTTAACACATTTTTGACTTAATTTAACTTACAATTACCATTTCCTATAAAATCTGAATTAGAACTCAAGAAAAACTGATAAATTCAGCTGTAAAAATTAAAGTATTTTTTTTATTTGTTATTGTTTTTAAATAATTAGCAGAACAGAATTTGTAAAAAAAAAAAGAAAAAAAAGAAAAAGAAATAGATCCAAAGGACCTATCAGTAACCATGTCTGTTCCAGTGCATATCATCAGTAAAATTTCTTTAGCATTATGTCTTCAGTACAGGGGCCATAACAGGGGCCAGGACATGATTTACTGGCCCCTGTTAGCCCCTGTCTAGTACCGCCCATGCATAAAGGTATACAGCACAATCTTTTATTTCCGTCCTAAGTGCTTTTTTTGCACATGCTCACTTTCAGGCAGATATCTGTGGTGAGCTACGGTTTCAGACAGCCATTGAAGCTCACCTTTCTCACCGTGGTTCTTTGAAAATGGCCGAGGGTGGTAAGAGAAAAAGTGTCTACGAAGTGTATGAGAAGAAAAGAAATGCCTCACAAAAGGTAAATATATCCCAGATTGCTTTGCGTGGAGATCTCTCTTCAAAAAGCATTATGGGATTTGCTGTCAGAGCAACCCACTGCCGCCATAGGCTGTCACTAACCGACAGCGGCGACTAATAACAAAGATGGCGTATGCACCGCGCAGT